TCGTTTAATTAGATGCAATTGTATCATATTAGCGTGCCATAGTTCAAAATCAATGTTCATAAACAATTTTTAATTCAAATCATGATTCTTTGACAAGGGAGATTCATTCCAGAGAATCGAATGGAAAAACAAGAATTCATGTGGCTAATCCACTCATTTTGAGTTCTCAAATGAGGTTAGGTCAATCCCACATCGAATTTCATGGTCAAAACAAGGTTTTTAGGCTGTTTAGGGTCGGTTTCAGTAGGAACCGGTCGACCGGTGACATAGGAGTGTAACTCCACCAGTCAGCCGGTAGAGAGGTGACCGGTCGACCGGATCGGTCGACCTATGGAAGGGTGACCGGTCGGCCGGACCGGTCAACCGGTGGGGAAAAATTCCAGGGCCAACAATGGCCGATTCGCGAGGAACAAAGCCAAAACCTGCAATTTTGGGTTCGATTTCGACATATTTTCAAGGGAAATGTATAGATCCAGTTTCAAATCAACAAATGGGGTCCAAAGAATCAAAAACCCCCAATTTTCATCAAGGTTTCACCAAATCCCATTCGAATTCCATTTGAAAACAAAATTTAAACCAAAAATCACCAATATCGACTAAAACGAGTTCCACAAAGAGTTTTACCTCGATCCAAGCTTTGATGTTGAAAACATCTTAGAAACCTCCGTTTTTGGTTTAAATTCGGCCCTTGAGAAAGGAAACTTTGAGAGAGAGAGGGAGAGATGAACGGGAGAGAAAGAGAGAGAGAGAGCTCGAGATAGAGAGAGAGTGTGTGAGGGAGAGAGAGCTCGGGAGATCAAGAGAGGGAGAGAGAGAGTAACGTGAGGAAGGGAAAGGAAAAAGAAATAAGGAAAAAAAGAAAAGGAGAAATAGAAGGAAAATAAAATTAGGAAAAATATTTAGGAAGAATAAATAAAATAAATAGGAGTGAAATTGTAAATACTAAAATAAATTTAAAAGCTCATGATTAATTAAGAAAATAAATTTAGACACACTAATAAATTATAATTATCATAATCAAACAAGTTTAATTCTGTAGGGCGTTACAAAAGTAATATGTCAGATTATTCTTCCGTGACCGACAATTTTAGACGTTCAATCATTTCTTTTTTTGTTAAAAATAAAAAATAATTTAGTAAATTATAAAAAGTAATGTGTGAGATTACTCTTTAATAATTGACAGTTGGAAGCGGTCAATCATTTTTTAATTAAAAATAAAAAATAATTTAGTAGATTATTAAAAATAATATATTAAATTACTTTCCAACAATCAACAATGTACCGGCCTGCGCCTCTGATCAAAGATTGCTTTCGAGTGGCATCTAGTAATTTACTGGTGGTAATGGCATGTATTACCTTTTTTTTTTTTTTTTTTTTTTTATCATCGGCATAATTTCCGTAATCTATAAGTTGGATGTTTCCGACGTATACTTTTTTTGTTTGTCAATAGAGTATTTATTGACATTAGTATCGGCATAATTTTGGTAATCTATACTTTTTTTTAATTAATATTAAAAATTATTCAATAGAGTATTTATTAATTATTTTGTTTGATTCAACACAGTCAATGCTAGTAAATATTATGTTTCCACGTAAATACTTAAAATATTTTAGTCACGTATATAAAAAAAATTGTGTATTTATATGTAAATGTCTTAAATGTTTTCAGTCATGTATCTGGTAAATAATTTCTTATTTTTAATCATGTATCTTCTATTGAATTATTACAGTATTATGTCTAGTAAATACTATAAATATTCTAAATATTTTAAGTCTTGTATTTAGTAAATACTATTTTAGACGTAAATATCGAATTATTTTTAACTTTGTATCTGATAAATACTTTATTTACATGTAAATACCGAATTATTTTCATTCTTTTATCTGGTAAATATTATATTTATACATAAATATTTCATTAATTTCAATCATGTATCTAGTACCAAATTATTTTCAACCTTTTATTTGATAAATAATTTATTTACATGCAAATATCCTAAAAAATTTTCGAGTTGTATCAGGTAAATACTATATTTTCAGGATTGTATCTGGTAATAATAGTATTTACACATAAATATTATAAATGTTTTAGCTTTCTATCTTGGACCGAGTTATTTTCAGTCTTGTACCTAGTAAATATTGTATTTACACGTATTTTTTAAATATTTTCACTTTTGTATCTGGTAAATGATGTATTTACACGTAAATGTCAAAAATATTTTTAATTTTATATCTGATAAATACCGTATTTACAGATAAATATTTTATTATTTACAATCATATATCTGGCGATCACGAATTGGAGAACACGATCTTTACCAATAAAGTTCACGGCGTAGATCGTCATCGTTTGCGCGACATCTAGCTTGAGATCTCAGGCAAGCTTCGTGATCTCTGGAAGCTTACGATTAGAAACTCATCAAAGATAACTATAAGATCGCAATGGAGAAAGACATGAACAGATAGAGAGAGAGAGAGAGAGAGAGAGAGAGAGTTGAAAGAGAACATGGAAGAGAGAGATCTCGGAGATGCACTGGTTTGCGGGCAACTGCGTTTTTCCAGCGACTTGGATCGACTGGAAGACAAAGAAAAAAAAAAGAGAAGAAGGGGAAAATTTCAAAAGAAAAAAAAAGGATAAAAAAAAGATAAAGGTAAAGGTAAAATCAAAAAGGAGATACCAATTGCAAATTGCAAATTGAAAATATACTATTTTTTTATCAATATAAAAAGCGATGTTATTGATTATATTAAG